AGCCACATTTCCCACATTAAAAAGAAGAAGAAAGAGGAAAAACTAGAAGGGAAGAAAGAGAACTACGAGAGGGTAAGTGAATTATGAGGCCAGTACCTGGCAGAAAGAGAAGACCATTAATAACTCTGAGCAATAGAGAGAGGCTAGACTACAGAAATAACACCAAAATATGTAAATGATCTGGAGAAAAAAATGAAAAGAAACCATAAAAGACAAACTATTGGATGGCAAAGCAAGTTCCCAACAAAAGCAAAAAGAGTGACACATCACACAAACACTCTGATCCAGCGCCTCTGCCTGAAATAACAGATCAGAAGTTTCCTGTTATCCTTACTATTGCCTTTCCCTTTTCCCTTTCAAAGCTTCACAGCCCTTTAGTTTAAAACCCAAACCAGCTTTCTCTCTTCTTTTCAGCGATTATGTGTTGAGAGGTCTGGGTGTCAGAGAAGCTTGATTTATGGCAATGTTATGTGTCACTTAAATAAATTCATCTCACAAAGGAACACAAGATTATTATGGAAATATGTTCCAGGGAAAAATCTATTAAGCATTAGTTATATGGCAAGCCAATTTTATATTTTTTGTCAGTATTTTTCTGGTCAGATCTTGTAAGTCGTGGTTTTTTTCTTAGGTTTGCCATACTCTGTTATTTTTGCCATTTGGAGTCTGCCAAATTAGTTCAGTTTGTTTACATGTTGCCGGGTGTTTTTCTAGTTTATTTCCTTGCATTTGTTTTTTATTATTATTTTAGTTAATTTTGTGTATTTTAAATATTTTGGGATAGGATCTCTTATTCTAAATTCAGACCAAATGCGACAGATGCAGCAGAATCAGCTAGTTTACATGCAAAGTCAATGGTTGACGTGCATCAAAGCGAGGCAAAAGGTCCTACAGTGCGTCTCAAGAAGCTGGAACAGTGTGTCTTGACGCGTCGAAGCATCTGAGCTAAAAAATTGAACTTTTGCAACACATCAACCAATGCTATGATCACTCCTCTGAATTAGTCTATTAACGCCTAAATCTACTTAAAATGTGGAAACCTGCTGGAAAAATATGTTCACTTTTATTATTCTGGTTTGGATTACGTACATGAAAAATGCCTCCGAGCCGCAGCGAACATTAGTGAAAAACCCCGATAAGGTGACTGGGCCAGAGGCTGCCGTTAAGGAGGCTTTCCAGTGACAGAGCACTGCCGGTGTACGGGGGTCTGAGCGGCTCTGACAGAGAAGTAATATTTATTAAATACTGCCTTGATATTTAAGGCAGGATGGTAATCTTGATGAACTGACTGCACAGAACATGTTTTCAGGTAGACTTTCTCACTTAGAACATAATAAATCTACCTTTTACACACCTATAGCAGCAAAATATATCAAAGACGCTGTCTGCCTTTGGACGCAGGAGCAGCAGAAGCATCAGAAGCATCTGGATGCACTTTACTCGACGCACTTCACGAGACGCAAAGAAGCACCGGAAAAGAAGCACACCAGAACCAGCACACAAAAACAGAAGCAAAAAAGCAGGGCTTTTCTGCTAGTTCCAGCACTAGCGGTCTGAACGTAGCATTAGCATCTTTAGTATGTATTTCTCTGTCCTTTCTTTATCATTTTGCTGTCACACAATGTCATCTAATAGTTAGTGCATTCTACACAACTCTGGCTTAATCCGAATATCTGAAATCGGAAAGGACACATAAGCGACATAAGAAGTCGGTCTGCAGTTTCCATATTAAGGGCTATCCAAGTAGTGCTTTACGTAAGAAAGGAGGTAGGAGGAGTATGCTTCCTTACGCTAATGCAGTTAGCATTGAGCCCTCCTGTTGCTTCTACTCTACAACAGGAGCAACATTGCCACTCTCCGTCCTTCTCAATAACAACTCCAAATTTCTATTCCCCTCCATTCTGCTTGTTTCTGGCCAGATCTCTTAGGTATACTCTCTTTGGGCTTCAAGGAACTTGAGGAACTGGTCCATCTTCATGAGTCGTTTTCCACAATGGCGGTCATACAAACACAACAAGCCGGTAACGTACCAAACAGGATATACACATAGGTTAGAGTGGATGTAGATTTTGGAAAGGTGCACCAGGGTGTCTGTGGAGGGGGCGGGGGCTCATTTGCATTTACTGCGACAGACACTCACATGACCTGGTTTCTGAGCATAAATCAGCCTCTAAGAAGGATGTAGTAGATGTTGGTTTTCACGGACTGATGGAGGCGGCCTTTGATGGAACTGACATCTGGATAAAAGCTGTCTGGATTTAGGCGCAGCAGTCAAGCACCTTTCCTATCCTGTATAGTGTTGGTATTGTTAACCCCGCAAAAGGTGAAACATTAAGTCAGTTGCCTGTATCCTCGTTCATCTACCTAATTATTTCCATTAAATTCTAAAAGCTTACCTTACACCTTCTGAGTGTTTGTCTGTGCCTTGGCCCAGGACCCCAGAACATCCCTGTTTTATCTTTAATTATTTTTTGTGGAACCGAATGACTTCTAGAATTAACTGTGGTCCGGTCCTCTGGCGACACTTCCCGAGTCAGCAGTTTTTAAAACCAACCGGGATGTTTACTTCCTCAACGATCAGACTTTGAAATGAGGGTCCCCAATTATCCAATTGGACATCCCGTTCCACTTGGTGGAAACTCTGCAGCTGGGGTCCATCTTTGCTGGTGAAGTGGCTGCATTCCACTCTTCGAAGAAGCCTTGAGGTAAAAGCACAGCGTTGGCTGTTCCTGATACTGCAGGTTGTTTTTAAATGGATGAGAAGAGTGCAATCCCATCAACTGAAATAGCACCAAATTCGTCTTGGTTAAGCATTTTTTACTCAGAATTTGAATCTCCAAGAATTTTTTGATGCGATACAAATCTCAATACATTTTATCCCAACAATATAGGATTATCATTCTACCAAAAAGGCACATGCGCATAAGTACTCCTTTGAGCAGCTTTACACTTTCTATATAAATAAACTAAATTGAACTGAACTTGACACATTGCCAAGGTAACCAGTGTAAACTGTGTACCCATTTGCAGATTACGTTGGAGCAGAAACTATGGGGCTGTTTGTTCCGGAACGTTTTTTGTAGATGTCCTGTAACCCTTTTTAACGGAGACCCTACATTCATCAAAATCCAGTATTTATCCAGACCATGTTATATCGAATGATGACTCTGCTTACCAACTTCCAACTCTTGAAGAGCCTGAGGTTGCTTTGCCTCAAGAGGCTGCACTCTTGGTGTTATAAGCTCATTTATTTGTTTGTGCACCCTTTATATTCACGTCGATGAAACATCAGTGCCTGCTGTTCTTTGTTGTTTTTCTCCTTGTGCTAACTTTGATCTTTCTCATGTTTCTTGATTCTAGACTTAAAACAAACTATTTCATTGATTAAAAAAACTAAACCTATAGTATAATAACCCTCTATACTTTCCCTTTAAATATGCATACTTTTGTGTTTTATTCTGTTGTATTTCTCTCCCCTGCTGGTGTAGAAACAGACTCCCAGGATGATATGTAGTATTTATTCTTTTTCCCCCCTATATTGTTATCATACTCTCTCTATTCTAAGTTCTGCCTCACATCTCTCCCTTTCTTTTTATCCCTTCTGTCTTTTGCTTCTGTTCATTCATTTTCTGTGTTCATTGCATTTAAGATAATCTAAAACAAAGGGATACTATAGTAAGTTTTATTATGTATAACAAAATTTACTGAGTGGCAATAAGTCTGTGAATAAAATTTAATAATTACTATAATATTGGTCACATCTGGTAATGCTGAAAATCTCTTGCAACTTGAATATGTATTTAAGTTTGAGAACTGGCTCAGTACTGATACCAATTAAAGATCTCACATAAAATACTCTTTATCCGTGCAGAATTACTTTTTTTCTTTGCTTGTATGTTTTAAAGATTACTAGGTGTTAGAAAATTGCTAATTTAATTCTTGGGTTACACCTATCACAGTATTTGATAAAAGCTTTTGTTGCAGCAGTCCTTAATAATTAGCTTTTTACCAAACCCTTGTTTGGCTTTGGCCAAGCAGTAACAGTAACAATAACTCAGTCCAGACTCTAGACCAGTACTTTGCTAAAACACAGGAGCTTTGCAGCAGAGACAGGTCCTTCACAGCCAAAAGTAAGTATTTAACTTTGCTATATGGCAACATATGTCACCAAATGGCACATTTATAGGGATGCTGTAAATATTTGGCTGTTGAATCAAACGAGTTGTGCATAATTTATAAATCTTTAAAAAATGTATCTAAAACAGATTCTTAATGTAATTTGCAAAAAATTAAAGAAATAGAAGCAGATTATTTTTCTGTTGCAGACTTGTTGTTTGGTCGACGTCAGGTTCAGTATGTTTGCAGTTTTTTGGGTCTGACAGGAGGCTAGATTGATTTTTGTTTAGTTTTGTACATTCTTTCCACGCTGCAAAGACTGTTTATTTTATTCTACCTAGCACAAATAATCACCAAATGTGTTTTCGAAGAAAAAAAGAAAAAGAAAAATGAACAGCATTCCAAAGACATTTCCAGAATAGTTTCCTCTCAGTTTTTGGTTCACACCCACCCAGGAGCTGCATCCAGCTGATGAGCTATAGCAGTGGAGCAAATTGCTGCTTTTGTAACAAAACCAACTTCAATTTGAAAATAAAAAAGCAGAAAATCTTTATTTTACATTAACTCTGAGTGCACTGCTGCTCTGCTTACTGACTGATGGATTTGAAGGCAGACTGATGGTGAGTGTGTGGCAGTTTTAGAGTGTCCCTGCAGCTTGTTGGAGGACAGAGTACCACTTTACATGTTAGAGTGTTTCTATAGAAACCTGCTCAGCTGTTTCTGTAACAGGATTCAGTCCACAGACTTTACCCTCAGTCCCTCTGCCTGCTTCTGCAGCCACATGAGAACTCCTGACTGCTTTCTCACTGCTGCCATTTGTGCTGATGATCAATCTTCTTTTAAAAAAAAGTCCTCAAGTAGACATAACAAATAAACTTTCTTACCTGTTTCTGGGACCTGCCCTCTTTTGTCAAGTCAAAAGTTAGAGTCTTTACTCTTCTCTGCTCTTCACACTCCTTTGCTTCCCCTCCCTCCTCTCTCTCTCTTCCTCTTTTCCCTCCCTCTTTCTCTCCTTCTTACTGGACAGGCCTGCCTTTTGGGGTTTTTTTCTCCCTAGCTTCTTCTGTTCAGAGGGTCATAGTGATCCCCCCCTTTAGCTCGGCTTCGGTCCAGAAAGACTTAAATTTAATTTCTTCTGGAAAACTGCAAGCTCGTTCATGTGACAGAAATCAGACACTATTGGTTTTAATTGTGTTTTGCCTCCCCAAAGAATGGATGAATATGTCCCACATGACACAAAGTAAACCAGATAGAGCATAGATGTGTTTGCAAATTTATCTCACTGCTAAAGTTGCAATGAATGCTGTAAACAGTGAAGCTCTGTTTAGGAAAGGCTGACTGTGGATACATCATCCACCCACTTTAGATTGTTAGCATGACAACACTCCACTGATTCAAACCTGCCTCTGATGTTTTGGCATCCTTTCAGTTTCCATTCGATTCCCAGAGCTTTTCATCCAAGAAAACAGATTACTGAAGTCAGGCAGAGGAGGCAACATAGCAATGCGCATTTGGAGATGGCTAAAGATGATGAAGATATCATATTTTGGGATCAAATTCCAAAAATTGTCCCTTTCTGCATCTTTCCTCGCTTTCATTACTCCTCCCCACAGGGCTTCAGCCACTTGGTCTGATATACAACCCTAAGACAGGACTACTATCAGGTCCAGATTAGAAGAAATCTAAGAAAAGAAAATACACATCGACAATAAGCTCACAGAAAATGTTTTACGTAATCGATGTGTCCCTTTCTGGGTAAGCCTTCTTGTCTAATCTCCTAGAATCGAACAGGCAGGAGAAAAGCCTTCTACTGACTTCCATGATTACAAGTTGTGACCTCATGTCTGACAAAGAAGATATATAACAATGCATCTTTTGTCAAAATAATGCATGCCACACCATGTACTATAAGTTAAAGGATGTGAATTGATTTGATTAACTGATTGCATAGCCTAACATTAGCAGATTTCTTTTGTAGGAAGAAGCAGAAATGGGAAACAACAGGAGATGTCCTTTTTTTGCCAGTGGCAAAACAGGGGTGGTTGCTTTTGGCAGCAGCTCTAACAGCCCCGTGCACAACAGGGGCTCGAGCGAAGTACCTCAATTGTAGCTCCTACCTCCTGTTCTTTCACCTTTCATTGGGTTGTCACAGAAAAGAAAAACAAAAATAAAGCTTTCCCAAATGAAACAAGCTGCTGAAGCTCTCTGTTATAAAACCCAAAACATGTCAAGGTCTGAACATGAGCATGTGTCACACAATTCAATTCAGTTTATCTATATAGCGCCAATTCACAACACAAGTAATCTCAAGGCACCTTGCAGAGAAAATTCTTGCAGATTCATCAATCAGATTGGTTCAAAGTTTTCTATCTAAGGAGACATGACATAAATGGGACAGATGGTCCCAGTATTCAGGCGAGCCAGACAGTAGGAAGTATCAAAACGTTTAATGACAAAATAAATACAACAGAACAGAAACGGGAAGCGGGCTGCTGTGGATTAGCAGACCTGCAGCGATTGCAGGGGAATCACTAACTAACCCAATCACTTACACTCTGGAGGGAGAAACACAGGTAAGTGACCATGATCATACGAGGGGAGTTGATTATCTGTGTGAGTAACTTACCTGGTTTAACAGTTCAGTTCATCCTCTCTGAGGATATGGTTAGTCACAGTCAGAGAAACATGACTACACATGACTACAGGCCAAGCTCCAACATCTCAAAACAAAGGCGTTGATGGCGGCAGCACAGCTAATATTTCCCTCCATGATGGTGTCACAGCCAAACAGGAATAGACCAGATGAAGCTACTATGATGAGAAAAAGCAGAGAGAGCAAACATTAGAGATTGAACAAACAAATAACAAAGAATGGGGGAATAGAGAAAGAATATAGCAGAATCGTGAAAAGGGGTCCCTATGTCCTCCAGCAACCAAAGACTATAGTAGCATAACTTTAGAGGTAGCTCAGGGTAATCTGTACCACTCTAACAGTAGAGGAGCCTGTGGATTGAGAAGGTTTGGTGTTTGTCTCCTCTCTTCTGAGCGTGTCCCGGCTCTTCTCCACTGAGCCCTCAGGATTTTGGCTTGGCGTGCTGGGAGAGCTTGGGTTTTGTCACTTCTCTGCTGAGCCTTCTGGTTTTGGCTCTGAGTGCGGGGGAAGCCAGTTTCATGGTACCATGTCTTGTCTCTGTTCCTCTCTTTCACTGTTTTTCACTGTCTCCTTCTGCGTGTGTCTGTCTGAGCTCGCTGCTAGACTCGTAGTACTGTGAACCTGCATTAACACTCTATGGAATCCTGGAACCCTGGATCTTTCTGTTCCTGTTTGGGTCCAGACTCCTGGATCTCAGAACAGTCCTGTTCCTGACCTGAATCTGATTCTTGCCAGCTCACTGAGGTTGCTGCATCGGGGACACCCTGGGCAGCCTTGCCCCACAGCTCGTTTGGCAGTCTATCGGCTGGATCCTGCTTTCCTTAGAGAGGATGGACTGAACTGTTAAACCAGAGTGTCATTGATTGGGTGGTGCCCCGCCTCCCCCATGCAACAACTGCAGGTCCGCTGGTCCACAGCAGCCAGTGTTCAGGCTTCTGTCTTGTTACTGTCCTTTATTTGTCATTAAACTTTTTGAAACTTAAGACTGTCTGACTCACCTTGAAAATTGGGTCCATCTGTCTCATTTCTTGACACGTTGGCTGTCTGATACTTAGGTGGTACTGCATGTAGCTTTAATAATAATAGAACTTTACTGATCTCACACTGGAGAAATTTACCTCTGCGTTTAATGCATCCCCTTGGGAAGCAGTGAGCTGCCATTGTGTGGCGCCCTGCGAGCAGAGTGGGGTTAATAGTCTTGCTCAGGAACCCAGAGTGGAGGCTGTGGGGATTGAACCAGGTACCTGCAACCAGAGATGGCAAAAGTACTCACTTTCCGTACTTGAGTAAAAGTACATATACTTGTGTTAAAAAATACTCTGGTAAAAGTGGAAGTACTGATTAAACTTCTTTACTCAAGTAAAAGTAACAAAGTACAGGCTTGTAAATTTACTTAAAGTATAAAAGTAAAAGTAGAAACCACTTTTTTCATGCCGTTGCTTACATTTTAAATGGATGTCTGCCAATAGGACTAGATCTCCGTTGTGTTCATTTTCAATCATCTCGTCGTCCATGCTACTATGCTAACGCCACCGCCACCAAGCTGCAATGATTTGCCGCCAATGAATACCGCCGAATCTGTCGATTCATCTTGTAGTGGTGCGTCAAAAGCAATGTAGATTCCCATCCAATTAGATTGAATTTGGTATTGATGACATGAAAAATAATAATGGTAACTCCATTGAAATGATTCAAAACTAAAGTAACGAGACAATTTTTTTATATGTAAGGAGTAGAAAGTACAGATATTTGTGTAAAAATGTAAGGAGTAGAAGTAAAAAGTCACCATAAAAATAAGTAGTAAAGTAAAGTAAAAATATCAGAAAAATCTACTCGAGTACAGTAACGAAGTATTTGTACTTCGTTACTTCCCATCTCTGCCTGCAACCTTCTCATAGCACAAACACACTGCTCTAACCACTAGGCAAAAAGCTTGCGCCAAGTCTTTTTATGTCAACTCATCGTTCTTAGTCTACATAAAGGTCATATTAAGGCTAAAAAAGGAATATCAATACACAATAAGGATGGACGCTTGGAGTATATAGCCTTATTTTAACATATTAAACAGAATTATTGTCTTTTTGGTATGGGCATAAAAGGGTAATATGTGTCTTTAAAGTTGATAAAGTCTAATGTTATTAAAGCAAGGTCCATCAGTTTTTATATTTCCTGTCTTTGTGTATTTTATCCTTTAGATTCCAAACATAAAAAATAGGCTATTAAAGATGTACAGTTGTTGGTGTTGCATCTCAGCAACCATTTCAAACAAATAAAGTAACTCAATCACAAATTTTTAAACATTTACATTTTACAAAATGCAGATTTCCACCTGCTGGAGTTCATTTGGATGTGTTTCCATGCTCAAGGTGTTGCTTGTTGTTCCTCAGCATGTAAGTAAACTCAGTTCTATTAACATTTGGTTTAACATGGTTAGAAAGAATGTGTTTTTTGTGTATACAATGAGCTCTAAACACTTTTATAAGGGTTTTGATTCTTACTAAAACGTTAAGCAACTATCATATGAAAATTTGTTTCATTCATGTAGAGACTTACTGGCATGATCTGTGGAATGTGATTACTTTGCATGCAGCATTTAGTATTTGGAAAGACATGATCTGTCTGTGGCGTCCTTAATGAGTTCTGGATTTAACCTCTTAATTCCAGGCAAGGACGAGATCTTATCTACATGCTGAAAGCTGCTTAAACTCCAGGAGACCCTAAAGCAGCTGTACCTCACAATGCTATTACATTACACAGCTGTTTTCCAAGCAGATGGAAAAAGCAAGCCCAAAATGACTCGTCTGTTTAATCATCCAGGAACTTTCCAAGAACAATCTGTTCAGTTGTCTTCTGACTGATTAGGATTATTAAAGTCTTATTTTTAAATGAGATACATGAGACAAATGTTCCCATGGGATCAAGAAGAGGAATATTATTACTGTTGACGTTCCATTTTATTTGCTGTGATAACGAAAAGAATCCAGCACCCTTTAAGAGCATTTCACACGCACACACAAACGTGGTGAAAGTAAAAAAAGATGTAATATTATAATATATTAATATAAAACTTTGTATTTACCATATTGATATTCAATTGCAAAATATAAAACTGCATATATGTATTATATGCAATAGGACTTCTGTTTAAGTTGTTATGAATCTGAATAAATATGTGTAACTGAAAGATCATTATAAAATGTCATTATATTAATTTAGTCATTAATTCGGACAGCAGCTGACTGAACTATGGTCTAACCCAACATGGCCATCCTATAGGTATGTAAGCCAAGTTGGTGGCAGCGTTCAGTGGGGCATCTACCTATTAATGTCTATGCTGCAAACTATCTCCACACAAAGAAAGTGTTTCAGATCACTAGGGGGA